CCCTTAGCTGTCGGGCTGCTTGGCTAGTTCGTAAGGTTTGGTCCGTTTGAGTCGCCTGGTTAGGTTTCTCACGTTTAGGAGCCTGGACGCTTCTTCATTGACGCGTTGTCTAAGTCGTTTTTCGTGTGAGGTCGCGTATCTTGCAATAATGGATGCGACTGTTTCGACACTGAGGTCTCGATGGAGGTCCCTGTTGCGTACATACCAGGGCGCATCTGCTGTGCGTCTTAGTACTTTGTTCCGGTATCGTTGGATTACTTCGATGTTTCATTTTTTCGCACATCCCCACAGTTGGACGCCATATGTCCAGACTGGTTGCAGCATTTGTTTATACTCGTACAGGAGCAGCTTGTTGTACATTGACAGTTCTGATCGACGTCCGGTCAGCCAGTACATTTTTCGAAATTGAAGACGACAGTGCACGAAAGGACTTTCTCTGTGTACACATGCATATATACTAGTATATCTTCATTAATTTAAAGTACGACCAGTAAATCGTCCAGTGGGAGGTATAAAATATCGAAGAACCCTGAAGATGGAGGCGCAGGTTCCCCCGAATTACTGGTGCCTACTAACGACATATTTATCATCACAACCCAGTAGACAGTAACATAAGCCAAAGGATCGCCCCATCCCGTCTGCCAAACAGTCCTGTGTGACTTATTGTGGCCATCTGGGATATGACCCCGTGTAGTCTTGTACATAATTAGCAGCGATTTACAAGTAAACACATCTCCCATTACTTTGTTCCTGCAGACGGAGACAGTATGTTCATTCGAAATGTTGGTACTCACAAACCAGACTGTACGGTGTCATAACCTATAATGCCACAATATGATAATTTATCGCCATGAATCGAAGCATTCACGCATCTCTTCGTTACGGCGTGTACACTCCTGGTTTCCGCTGGCAGCAGCACAGACGATGTCTGCAATAAGTTTTCCTGCATTTTATGGGACCCCGAAGGTCCATTGATGTGTTCACAAGAGTCCGCCACTGGTCCCTGTCCTGAGCCAGATTAATCCAGTTCATACCATCTCATCTTATTTGTGATCCTTTCTAATATTATCCTCCCATTTATACCTTCCAAGCAGTATTATTTATTCATGTTTTCGCACCAAAACTTTATTATGCATTTTTCTCCTCTGCGTACTACATACCTTGCCCATCTCATCCTTCGTGATTTTATCATCCTAATAATAGCGTACAGGAATAAAGAGTGTCTGCAATAAAGCAACATCAAAGCCAGTGACGTATGAAAAATCCGGGAAAACCGCATTTGGAAGCTTTGCGTGGCCTACTTTAAGTAGCATACACTTTCCATGCATGTTTACACATGACGATGTAAACATCTCAGTTCTTTGGACGTTGAACTCAGAATTCCAGTCAACAGAACCTGTAGTTCGGCGGATGGATTTCACGTCTGCAGAAGTGGGCCACAGATTACGACGACAGCAAACAGCAGAAGGACGCCTGGAGCACAAAGCGCAGTGACGCAGCAGTGAGCACAACGTGTTGGGAGCTCCGAATTAGAAAGCAGCCCAACACACCCACCAATGTCCTCTGCTTCTGTGCAAGCAGCGCAGTGGATGTCCGGAGTAAACACTTGTTAGTGCCACAGCCCCCTCGATTGTCGTGGGGCTACTTGAAACCCCACTCTGCGATTTCCCCATATTAGCGTGTCGTCTGCACGAGGACAATTTGAAGTATTTGGTCTCTCGTCCTAAGGAAAGAACTCACAGCGAGGCGAGAATGGCGTAATCGGGAGCTTCATGATTTCTACTCCCCACCTGATGTTGGTAGGGTTACCAAGCCAAGTAGAATGAGTTGGACGGGGTACATAGCACGCATGGCAGTGATTAACAGACGTGTGATCAGGACAGCTAAAGGTATAGGGGAGGACTCGGACCAGTGGCGGGCTCTTGTGAACACGGTAATGAACATTCGCGTTCAAGAAACTGAGCGACTATCAGCTTCTCAAGAAGCTGCAGGTTCCTCTGGTTTCTGTCTACAGATGAAAGTGGTTGCCAGAACCAGTAATGCGGAGGAGTGTCTTCAGAGAAATGAAAGTGTTCGTAACGGGAAGCAGTGGGAAGCATGGTACAAGTTCTGTTAGTTCCCGTGCCGTCTGGCACAGTCGTACCTCGGACTCAGTGCGTTTCTTCAAACGGGGCGCAAATCGAGCCCATTATAACATGGGACGTATAGGGTTGTGTTCCTGGAGCTGAAGGCCAGGGCCTGTTTTTCAATATTTTAACCCATATTACTTTATAATCTGTTGTTTACATAACAAAATCACTGACGGGTCATCAAATAAGACAGCATTGAACATGTAAACTATTGGAAATATTGAGCATAAGTAAAGCCTAAGTTAATGTTCTACCATGGATCCGTAAGAGTTATGATTCGAACCACCAGAGCATTTAGACGCTTTATAAACAATACATTTAGCGTTTTATCGAAACCAAACGTCACCAGCGCCCCTTCGAACTCAAGCAGGAGAGCTCCGGATGCGGAAGGCTAGGGAGAGGGCGCCGCAAGGGCGGCCGCTGGGGTCTGGGGCTTTTTTAAAGAAGCTGTCCATGGTCCGAAATTCGAGATTCGGCTCTCGTAAGTCAGAAAATTTGGAACCTAAGTCCAACAGGTGTTAATTTTGTGGGGTCGTAAGTCGAGAAATCGTACGCCGAGATGCGAGCGTGTTGTTCTTCGCAGTGCAATACCTAGTGCTCTCTTACTCCAGATGCGATTATTCTGAGGCCCGACTCTGTACTCTCGCACGACTGCTAATTGAGGTGACAGGAACGTGATATTTCAGCCGTTAGATAAGCAAATGATTTTCCATCAGAAGAAGAAACCAGGTTCCTTGTGAAGGTCTCACAGCCCTCACAGTTTAGGCCACCCCTGCTAGTACACTGACATCGTGAGCTATTCGCCCTTGGTTTGCTTTCTTGTCTTATAATGGCAGAGGCCTTTCTGTGGTCTGATCCCCCATCCAAGGAGTCCTACCGCTTGTCTTAATACAGATTTTTAGGTAACCTCTAGGGTAGAGGATATCAAGGCTCGGGTAGGGCTGACGTAGTGCTGAGGCTTTATTTAGACTCATATTCTGGAGGTGGCTGGTTCGATTCTCGACCAGGACTCCTCCTATCCTAACTCTCGAACGGTAAACAGCCGTGATATTACCTCGATTTAGCTGCTACTGCTTCCTTCCAAATCCTTCCAATTCGTGATTCATCAGTCATCACCAATTTGACGCTGTATAGTCACCAACAGCCTCGTAAAATACCGTATTTACGCATGTATAGGCCGCACATTTTTTGCCAAAAATTCAAGAGGAAAACTGGGGTGCGGCTTATATTCGAAATATTCGAAATCACACTTCATTTTAAAAAAAAATTATATTCGGAATATTTCTGAATAATTTCTACTCCTGAAATAATATTCCAAGAAAATTATTTTTTCTATAATTTCTGTCTGAAAATTGTGCTGCGGCCTATACACGCACGCGGCCTATACATGCGTAAATACGGTAACCCAGAGAAAAAAGTAATTGGACTCTAGCACCAAAAGAAATCTTTAACCTCGCTGATAGGGCCTACACGGGTCACGTGTGTCACACACACGCACACAGAGCCACCTGTGTGCAGACGAAGACGTGCTGTTTCATTGTTACCGCAGAATGGCCCACGATAAACTCGCATGCACTTCCTTGTTGACGTCACCTGGTAATGAACACATGCAGTGTCACATACCGGTACAGGAGTGACGTGAGACCGGGCCTCTACACCAGTCCCTCGTTATACGTAATTGTTGAACATTGCTAGGGGGGGCAAATGAAGTGCTTGGAGAAAAACCGCGCCAGTGCCACTTTGTCCACCACATATACGTCCTGGACTACCCAGGGATTGAACCTCTTGAGCTAAGGCACATTTTTTTTGTTTATAAATAAAGTAACATTTGTACCAAATTCTTGGCATGTGAAGAATACATGTGAAGCTCAGAAGACAAAGGACATCTACTACTACTACTACTACTACTACTACTACTACTATTACTACTGCTGCTGCTGCTGCTACTCCTACTGCCACTACTACTACTACTGCTTCTCCTCCTCCTCCTCCTCTTACTACTACTATTGCTGGTCCTCATCCTCCTACTACTACTGCTGCTACTTCTACTACTTCTACTACTACTATTGCTGATCCTCATCCTCCTCCTACTACTACTACTCTTACTGCTACTACTGCTGCTGCTACTCCTCTTCTTCCTCCTCCTCCTACTACTATTGCTGATCCTACTACTACTACTACTACTACTGCTGCTGCTGCTACTCCTACTGCCACTACTACTACTACTGCTTCTCCTCCTCCTCCTCCTCTTACTACTACTATTGCTGGTCCTCATCCTCCTACTCTCCTACTACTACTACTACTGATCCTCATCCTCCTCCTACTACTACTACTACTACTACTACTACTACTACTCCCCTTACTGCTACTACTGCTGCTCCTCCTTTACTACTACTATTGCTGATCCTCATCCTCCTCTTACTACTGCTGCTACTCCTCATACTGCTACTACTACTTGTCCCTGTTGGAAATCAGACTCCAGACATCCAGCCTATTGTTCGTTACTATACCTACTGAGCTCTCCCTCCTCCTCCTCCCCATCCCCACCACTGCCACTATCTGTTAATTAATTGTGGTGGTGATGGTAGTGGTAGTAGCATTGGTTTTACTTCTGTTATTTTGAAACTATGTATTTGTATGAAGAGGTTAGTGTACACATCCTTTGGGATGTGTACACTGTGCAGTAAAGTGTTCCAGAGGAATGTCACAGCATCGCATCTCAGAAGACAGTACTCCTTACAGTCAAAACTGATAGGCCGACTAGTATTTGTCCCTTAATTTGATTCCAGTACGTTCTAGCACCAAGTCCAGTAGTGTCCGCACTTCGGTGCTTCTCCAGCAGCTCAGCAGTTCATCTGGTGATTCTGCTGGCCAGCGTCACCAAGGTCTGCACCACTGCTCCTCCGGGTCCGACAGTCCCCCCCATTCACTCCTTGTGACCGATCCCACGGACTGTACCAAGGGGAGCCGGAGTCCAGACAGCAGCTCCACCTCATCAGCCAACAGCCACTCAGCTGGCCGACCGGTCACGCGATCGCAGATCAAGCACAAGAACCAGCTCCACAAATTAAATTCAGCAGGTATTCCTCTCTTGCATTTGCCTCTGCTTTTGGGGGCATCTTCACTGAACTGTGCACTACAAGTGAAACTGTGATATAGTTTTCATGGCAATGAAGATTCATATTATGGTCTTCTTTGTTATGACACCGTGTAGTCTGGTAGGTGGGTACCAACATTCTGTCTTCAAGCCACCTCCTGCATCATATGGTGCTGTAGCTCAGTAGACCACAGTTTGAGACTGCTGAGTGCACCCATCAGTTAGAAGGGAAGCTCTCCAGATTTCTCTATCTTCTGGCAGATGTGGCTGCCTGTTTTGGTATTATCCAAAGAGTCTCTGATGTGTATGAAAATGGTTGAGTCATTATATAAACATTATTTTGTGCTTGTGTGGGCAGTCTCGAAGGTGCTACATGTTGTGGCCATAGCCTGTTGGTGTGCTACGTTGTTGCTGCTTTATAAATGTCGCTTCTACAACATCTTTGAGCCTTATGGTTATCATCTGGTAGATACATAATTCCTTCACTGTATTGCTACTCTACTGCTTTTTTGTTGCTTCATTATTCTACAGTTTGTAGAAATTAAATTTGTAAAGGAGTGACAATGTAGCACACCTTAAGGGCTGCCCACACAAATCAAATCATTAACTAGTGCAACAGGATCAGGATGCTGAAATTTAATATTATTTTGGACATTGTCCATTGTCTTGGGTACATTTCTTGTACAGAACATTTCAGGAAACGGGTCTGTTCCTGTCTCCATGTGTAGAGCAGGGACAGGATCCTACTTATTTGGGTCCAATGCATCCAGTGATTGAGTCTAACACACTCTGATGTGCCCAACTGAGTAGAGTCCTTTCCTCCCTTACACCTGATGACAAATCCAACTTCTGAAATATGTGTATCAAATATACTATAAAATATTGCTTCTTTCTTCAGGATAATAACTGTATTGACATTTGTTTTCAATGAATTACCACAAACTGGGTATGGTGTTGCATGTCGCTGACTAACTCCATGGAGCATAGTAAACATCTGTTCTGTTAGCTCTGCAAAGGGGCATTACCATGCCCACCACTAGTCCATATCCTGAGCCAGATTAATCCAGTTCACACCCTTACACTCTGTTTCTTTAAGATCACTGGTAATATTGTCCTTCCATGTACACCCAAGTCTCCAAAGTAATCTCCTTCTTTAAGCTTTTCCAAACAAAATTTTATATGCATTTCTCATGCCCCACCAATTTCATTCCCCTTGATTTGATTTTCTCGCAAATTATGAAGCCCCTCACAATGTAATTTTTCTTGTCCTCCCTTTGTTTCCTCTCTGTTGGATCTTAATGCTCTTGTTATTACCCATTTCTCAAAAACCTTCAATTAATGTTCCTTATTTTGGGCAAGAGCTCAAGTTTCACATTCATGTGAGCAGTTATGTTAATCAGCTCTCAACAAACGCACTTGCCTATTTGCCCATGGTGAGTCAATCAAGATCTATGCGTGGAAATAGCCTTGAATTAATTTCCTGACATTCTCCCCATCTCTCTGTTCTGATTTCCCCACAGATGTTTAAGAGTAAATTTGAACAACAGTGTAAAGGACAGTGTTATGCATGTCCTGTAGGCTGGAGCAGAGCCATTGTAGTGACATGGATAGGCGAGGTTTGTCCTATAGAGAAATATCTGGAGAGTAGAATTTTTGTGACCGTGAGCTGATCCAACAGCTGTTGATCTCTGATGATAGTTATAATTAACAAATGACGGTCCAAATGAGGAAGCGTATATGGCCGAGCTGATGGTGGCAGCGAGATGACAGCCTCGTTTAAGATTTGCACAACTGTTCATGCAGGTTCCAACTCCTCATGTGGAGCTGTTACTTGCTGCCAGGGCTGCCAGTCCCGTGCGTCACTCCAGGTCCAACCATCCAGCAACGATGAAGAACTAATGACCCTTAGAGGCGAAATACGGAGATTGCAGACAGAACTGGGGAACACTAATGCAAGGCTACAAGAATCTGAACAGCAGCTCAAAGAGAGGTAGTAGCAAACTTAGTGTCATAAATACTAAACTGAGCAATTACACATAGTGTGGGCCAGTGTTACACATCTGGTGAGCCATGACCGTTTGAGTGGGATTCCTTTTTATCTATTCAACAAGAAGCCAGACTAGCTCAGTCAGTATAATGACTGCCCTACAGGTAGAATTTCCAGCAACAGCTTGCTACAGCATCTAGACTGACTCTCGGGCCCATCCAGCCTCTTATCCACTGGATACTGAGGGTTCTGTTCCTAGGACAAATGCGACCAAGGCATGAAGCAGACCACTCTCTCCAGTCCTTTGTGGCATGGTGCCTGTTAATTAAGCAGTGACATCTTGTTCAGCCCTGTTTTGTTGTCACATCAGTTTGTGCTGCTGTTTCTTTGCTGTTTCTTTCTTTATTTCTCATTTCCTGGCATATTCATTGTGCACTATACTCAGGGTTGCTGCCAGGATTTTTACCAAGGCAGGGGAGCCAACATTTGTTTACAGTGTTACATTCTAAATCATCTAAGATTATTCTTACTGGTCCCCCTGGAGAACTTAACATAAAACTTGTCCCTGTGCTTAATTAATTAGCACTATGTCATGAAGACATTTGGGGGAGTGGAGGTATAGCTCCACCATTTGTGACCTCAGCATTAAATGGGAGTGAGTGGTCAGCTTCATGCCCCAGCCTCTTTACCCCAGGAAATAGCCCTCAGCATCCATTGGATAGTTGGCTGGGTGAGCCCCAGAGAAAAATCTTACAGAACTTAGGCTCAAAGAAGAATTATTTTACAAATAATTTTAAGTTTTATTGTATTCAGTATATTTCCTTTTCTTCTTTAAATTTTTTTTAAAGATCCAGCCTGGAGGCAGATACCTTTCACTGCTGGCACACATGATTACAGTTTTTCAGAAAAAGCACTTTTAATCTTGATCTTAATAGTTTGTCACTCTTGACATTCTTAAAAGTATTCCCAATTTGTTAAGGTTTGCTGCTGATATGTAATGCATGTTATAAACAACCATCCTAGCATCCAAAGAGCTGTTGCTTACTGTTCTGCCACTGTATATGTTAGCAAGCAGAAGGACCAGATGGCAGCAGTAGACAACAGGGCAAAGCATGCTTGAGTCGGTATTGCAGTGTCCACATCTGCCAAAAAATATTCAAGGACTACCCCTAGACAGCAGTATTACATGGAGGACACTGTTATTCTACCAAACTTCATATCCTTATATGAATATAACTGTGTTTCCTAACTTTTGAAGTTTACAGTGACTTTATGGCTTGAGGTTACATTTTAAAATTGTAACACATTTCATGCTAGTACACAAAAGAGAAATGTGGAAAACAACTATATGAACATAGTTGATATGTGCATATATGTATCCTTACAACTTCACAGCATTATAATAACATACCATATAACCTAACTACTAACAGCATTGTTAATCAAACCATAAATGAAATAAAACGAAAATGAAAAATATAATCGTGCAAATCCCAAACATAAATACATGCATAAAACAATACAAAGAGTGTAAGTGTGAATAGAACCTTCATGTTACTTTTGAGCGGTATATTGCGTGATCTGTTGATTTTCAGATATAAATATTTTATTCACTCTCAAACAGATGTTACTAGGAGATGTGGAGGAAAAACAAACACTTTCAAACACAAAACCTGGAACAGCGATGTATGTATGAATGTTCTTTGCGTTGAATGAGAAGATGATGATTGTTTCTCGATTTGTCAGAGGATGATGGTCCAGAGACTATCGTGTTCAAGGATCTCAGGTTGAGAACCATTTCTAACCGTGAATGTGAGCAAAATTAGACATCAGCTGTGGTTCAGAAGCTGTAGGTTACCCATGCCAGGCACCATTCTCATCATCACTATACCATCAGGTGTTGAAATGGGTACACACGCATTTCAGTTCCTCAAAGCTTGTACTTTAATATAATTAGCCAAGTTCCTGGCCGGAGACAAAGCCCCCAACTTACAGACAGATGATGTGATAATGTGTTTGTTGCCTGGTCAGCACTATCATACACCTCCAGGGGCAGTGATATATGAATATGAAACATTGGTAGAATTGTGATTGCCAAGGAAAACCAAAGAAACTCTGAGAGAGACCTGCTCGAGTGTCACTTTATCCACCACATATCTCACATGAGGTCACCAGGAACTGACTCTGACACACCCTCAATGAGATGATGTGTAACTCTGTATAAAAGTTTGTAGATGCAGGAATCATGTGATGTCAGTTGACAAAGCGCAAAATATTTTAATTAACAGCCATGATATTATTGTCCCTGGTTCTTCACTGCTGGAGTTTGATGTGTAACTTTCAGGGTTTAGTCCCATCATATGTTGAAGCTGTTCCCAAAATTTTGCTGCACATTGCACTTGTTATGTTCAGACTGAATGTAAGAGAGGAAGAGGAAATGGACCATGAAGAAAGCAGTTGCAATGTACACCCGAACTTTGGAGTCACATCAACATACCATGTGGTTAAGCCCCGAAATCCCAAGTTATATAACACAGCTGTGATGCAGTTGCTGCTATTCTTATCAATGAATATGTTAAGTAAAGAGGACTGACTTGAAGTCTACAGTCCTCAGCATTAAGAGTGTCACCCTACTCAGTAGTGTTACACTGAAACAGTGAAGACAGGGTTCTTTAAAAGGGCCTAGCAGTGGTCTCAGCGCCTGGGGAGACTAGAGGACCCCCCCCCCCCCCGCCAAATGAATACAGGACCAATACTCACTGCTACTTTTAAGTTAGAGGATAGTCTGCATAGTTGTGTTCCCGACATGACTTGTGATTGACTGTTTTCAGACTAGCATCACCCAGTGCAAGTACAGAAGCACCTTCAGATCCAGGCAGCTTGGTGCGTTGCTATGGCAACTTGTATGCGGCTGCCCGAGTGGATGCACTCGACTCTCTAGACAACCTTCCAGCTCTAAAGGACGCTGATGAACTTAAGTCTAAAATATTGTTCTCAGTTGTTGTGGTGAGTCGCCCTGCTGTGACTCGCTTGGTCGCTGCTTCTGAACTCTGTATTTCTATCCTGGGTGACTGGCTCACATTGTTGCATCTCTGTCTTGTGTTCCTTTCTAAATTTACTTCTTTTTTAAGGACACTCGTCACGATCTTCTGTGTACTTTCTGCATGCTGTGTGACATAGCATGTCAGTATGAGAATTAAGTATTTCCATTAGTGATATAATGAAGGTTATATTCATTATAAAGGGTTTGATATGTGACTTCTTGTAGGTATGAACACAAATGAAATGTCTGATCAACTCCAATCACATATGAAGTATGATAATAGTTTTTGGAGAGCTGTTATTTTAGTTCTTCATAACTTTTGACTTATTTGGGTTGACTGTTTGATGTTGAAATGGAGGAATTAATTATCGAAATATGAATATGAATGAACATCATCAGTGCCATCTAGATTTTAAATTTTTTTTTAAGGATTTCTTGTGCAAGAACGCGTGCCTGAGTCAGCATCAGGCTATAAGTGCAGGTCTGAGATTATAATGACTTAGATTCAGTGATATGTAGGGTCATTAGAGATATACTTGAGAGTGTTAATAAAAATTCCATTAATTTTGGCTCAGAGTAAAAGAATATTGGACCATTCATAAGTAGTTTATGAGTCCAGCATCACTGGTTGTAATTCAGTCGTAAATTTTCTCGAAATTAGGTTAAAAGCCTATTGATGAAACTGCCATCCCTCTGCTTCCAGATTTTTATCAAATACTTGGGAAAGGAACATTTTGCATAAGGTGTATGGACCAGTAACAGAGTAAGGTGTGTGGAGAATCAGAGATAACTAGGAACTCAGGGAATCATATAAAAATCTTGCTTTTATAGCAGATATTAAATGGATAACACTGGAATGATTTGGGCATATGATTTGAGTGGAGCAAACAAGAGTGGCTAAGAAAATTGTTGAAGTAAACCAAAATGTAAAAGGAAAGTAGGAGGCCACAGATATAGATGGCTGGAAGATGTAGAGAATGATTTATGAGAGCTGAAAGTGAAAACATGGTGGAAAATGGCAAATAATAGACAAGAATTGGCATTTGTTATAGAGGAGGCGAAGATTCTTGGAGAACAATAGAGGCAAGGAGTAAGTAACTATACTTTATGTTTGTCCCTTTTTCTTTTGCACTGAGCCCCATCTGCCCATTTGTATTCTCATCTTGCTGCCAGGCACGGCCATCCCTTCATCTGGGGAAACAGACACTGTCTGTGTTTTACCCTTTGCCTGAGGTCTCTCTTCTGACCAACCAGAAAGCATGGCCACCATTCAGGTTAGTTGGTCCTCCCACGACTTCAAGACAGTAACAAGACTGGAGCAGGCAATAGGACTGGGCCTTGTAGATTATGATAATGATGACATCAGCAATATATTTAACTTTGTTTTTAGCATCAGTCAAACTGAAGCAATGTTCCACAGTGGACATTCCCTTGTAAATGTAGAGGTCATAAAATGTATTGTGCAGACATTATGTGAAACTTAACATTGCAATTTATTTAATATGCAAAGATACAAGAAGTAGAAAAAAGATGCAGATTTTTCATGTAAAAATAAAGTTCATGTTTCTTAACATTTCTGAAGTTTAACATCTCTTCCAAATATCTTTCTCTTTCCTCAAGCATTTGTTTTAATTTAAGATTTTTATACTTGTACTTTGGTGTTTAAGAGTTGTTGTACAACAAAAGTTATAGGCATGTTTTGTATTCATCATAGCATAAAGTTTGTAGTGACAACGCACAACAAAATAGCTTACTGTAAATAGCAATACCAAACATATAGTTCACTGTTTCACAAATGTTATTAGTCTTAACCCTTTCCATGCTGAGTTTTTCAGTCTTCTTTAGAATAAGTTGCCAGAAATCATATAATTATGTCAGTAACATAAACTGTCAAATGACATATAATGTACAGCTGTAGCATGGAACAGGTTAAGAACTTCTGTTGGCTACACTGCTGCGGTAGCTAGAACTCACAGACTGCCTTTATGTGCAATTTGAGGACGCTATTTATGGTAGTGGACATCAGATGGCCAGTACATGAAGTCTGGTAGTCCACTACTCTTACACAGGCAGAGTTCTACCTGCAACAGATGACCATGTTGTCTGTTTATGGTAATGCCTCTTAACTGTCTGAATGTCAAGAAACAGGATGTTCTTTGATCAATTTTTGATACTTGGCTGTCCTTCTTTTCATGGAACCAAAGTTGCATTGGTGATCAGTAAAGCCTGCCTGAACCAGTTTAATCCATTTTACATCTTCATGCCCTATTTCTCTAAGATCCATTCTAATATTCCCTTTCTGTGTCCAGGTTTATCTTGTTGTCTTTTTGCTTCAGGTGCTGTCTTAGGTGTGGCAAATGGTTACCTTTATATACAAGATTTGACAGTCTCACAGTTGTGAAGAGTTACAGGGGGTACCTAGGCGTCTGGCCATCCCAAAGTTTTTTGAAAAATCAAAATTTTGTCATCTACAAAATTGGTGGATGGTCTTAAATGTAAATTTGTAAGCAACTGAGCAGTTGCCTGCCCACCTCTTCATCTGAGGATGGGAAGAGATCAAGTTTCCAAAATGTTGTACTCCTTCAGAGTAACAGGTAATGGGCAGAGTCCATGAAGTTGGTAATCTCAATGCAAGAAAATACATGTAGTTCACTATTTCTTCAGTGGCATTGTATTATCCCATCAGATATTTTATGAGCGACTTCAAGGTGTATGCATAGTATATTGCTTTCTGACTCACCAATATTCTTAAATGAATTATGGTTGCATGTTGTAGCCACAATCCAGGTCTTGGCATAGAAATTACTTGGTTGTCTGTCCTGTGTGTGTCTGTGTGCATGAGGTTAATTGGCCTTCCTCGGTCTTTTTAACATTACATGAGATGGATTGTACTAAAACTCTGATGTAACGTGTACATTCTCCTTCATGTCTAACAACTTGGTGGAGCAGCTGGCATTCAGGTCAGCGCAGTCATTGCTAGCCCTGAAGAAGGACCATGTGAGACGTATTCTGCACATTCAGCCACCTGCAGTTACCCCACAAGTTGGTACTGTCACGCCCTCCGATCCTGAAGCAGCTGAGCTGGAAAGAAGCGTTGCAGTTTACCTCCGGAAGACAGTGGATAAATTTGACCTAACCAAGAGCGTTGAAGTGAGTGGTCCTGAGATATAAGAAAGAAATTGACTAAGTAATGTTGTGGAAAACCGTTCTTCTTAAGAAGGTGGTAGTTGCTTGGCTATCAAGAATCCCCTCACCCCTTCAATGTTGGAATATGAAAGTTCATTACCATTTTGCCTGGTAGCAAAAAATATTTAGGTGTGGCATTACAGATTTTGGTACTAGGCTATGTCAAATGTTAAGGGTTTTTCAACGGTTCAGCACACTTTGCAGTTGCCAACTTTAGGGATTGTGGCAGCTCTTACATAGTTCTCACATCAGGCAGTGTGTCAGAGTTGAAGCTGTGACTGGAAGGACAGAGGAGCAAGATGCTAACAACCAACAGGAAGCAACATTAGTGAAAAGTCATGATGAAGTCATTATCCCTGAAGATGGCAACTTCAGGGTTTGCTAAAATGCTGGAAAAACCTCAACACTTGATGTGTCCTACTCCCAAACCAGCTGCAAAAATCTGAGGATGAGAATGGGTGTCTCTGTTTAAGTATTGTGGCAGGGCTTATAGATGGGGTTCAAATCATCATACAAAATCTTTTTTCTTGCTATGTCCATATATTTTAATTTCTTAATTTATTTAATTTTTTAATTGTTTCATTCTGGTCTGTCACGCTATCAGTTACAAAGATTAAACAGCCCCATCCAATGTGAGTGTCAATGACTTTATCACTTCATCACTTAACAACCTTAAATGTTTCAGTTCTCATAGAACCATCATCAGAGGGACATTGATACATCCGGGAAACCACTACCACAAAAGGTGTTCTAACGTTAATTATATACACTTATGCGGAAAGTTGAAATCTATATATATTGTGCAGTGAAAGCATTATATGTGTATATAATTAACGTTAGAACACCTTTTGTGGTAGTGGTTTGCCAGACGTATCAGTGTACCTCTGATGATGGTTCTATGAGAACTGAAACATGTAAGGTTGTTAAGTGGACAGAACTGTTTAATCTTTGTTATTTAATTTATTCAACATCCATAACTGCCTGTGTAACAGTTAACAGATGTAAAAATAAATTAAATAAATAAATAATTTAAGTGCTATAGCTTCTTTTAACATTCTGCTGCTATATGTTGTTACACTTACAAGGAATGCTACCATATCCCAGGCAAAGAAGGGGAACTTCTGTGTGTGACAATCTGGTAAACAGACCGTAATCTCTTGTGCTTCTGGCACATGTCGCTTGTTGTACATCTGACAGAGTTCTCTGTTTACATGCAGGACGTCTGCTGCCAGATATGGGCTACACTGTACGACTATCCGTGCCTCAAATCATGTCCGGGACTTGTGCAATATGTAAAAGATGCAGTTCGTTTAGCATGGGGCCTAGTTAATCAGGTAAGCATATCATTTAATGGGACTTGGTCCTTATTGGTCATACAGCACACTACTGAAATGGCATGTGCATATGGCTCAGGTGGCTGAACGCTGTATTCTTATGATGCTGTAGTGTTTTTCACAAGGACTGGCAACTGAGGAATCTACTGAGCAATGTACTATGGCTTGGAAAGCAGTAAAGGATGAGGGAGGAAGCAAGGAAACATACAACATACAAAATGCCAAATGTGATGCTATAAAATGCTGGTTTTCGGTGACTGCAAGTTGTTTCATGAAATGTATTTACATATGTTGAGAAATGGATTGCTAAATTGCATAACTGTTAACTTACAAAACTTACAATACATGCTAGCACCATTGTAAAAGACTGAAGCTTTTGCCAGAAAGTATGTATCATAAGGTATTCCCCAGAATTTCCTTCTTTACCTCTGTAGGTAGTTATGGCAAGCGAAATATCAAGAAGGTGTGAGTTTATTTCATTATGATGTAGTGCAGACAGCTACATGAACCACAAAGTGTTGAATAATGCTCACAGTGCTGTGTTTCATTTCTGACTGTAGTCACCACCGTTCATCCTCGAGTATGAGCAGAGGACCCTGCGAAGGGATGTACATGTGAGATTCCATTCGTCTAACCCAGAAAGTGACCAGATTCGCACTTACCTGTGGCCTGCACTTCTGGAAGGAGCAGGGGGCCCATGTGTTCATAAAGCTGTCGTTATCACCTGACCAAAGCGTAGACAGGCTCTTCTATAATGGTAAGTTTAAACCAGGATAAAATTCTGTACGAGGCCCCAGATGTAGGTACCTTTGTACTTGCACTTTGTGGACTGGACGCATGATATCACGCTTTTCGCTTTTAAACGTGGCCGACTGGTCACATGATATCAGACTTTTAGGACACATTAGGTTGTAAAAAACTATACCTTGCTCTGGCGCCATGCAACTGCAATGAATACTGCATAATAAATCTTCGGAATGTATGCTAGTTATTCAGTAACTTGACCTGGCTGGCTAGGGTCCCTACTCCAAAAGAAAATAAACTTTGCCCCTTCCAGCTGTTTATGTACCAGGCAGGAAGTTAGTAGAGGGGAATATGTTTCAAGGGCAAAAGTGGTTGAAGGCAAGCATTCTCTCTGACTTGTTTATGGAGCTATCTGATATGCCTTGTGGAGGAGTAGTGATTAGTGACTCAAACAGTGGAAGTGACAGGGGTCAACAAGGAACTGTGGCCACAGATAATAAAAGTGAAAGTTGCCTTGTGGCTTATAAATTGTGCCATTTTCAATTCATTTTTTGTTTACAAAAATCTAAACACTGATTCAAAATTGAAATACAAAGCATTTCTGATTAATGTGGCAAAGGCTTGGGCTACAGACCAGATGGTGGCGGCAGAACCAGAGTCAGACAGACTTAGTGTAACCTAGCCCATCAACTCCCACCCCACGCAGGCCTCATGCGGACACCCCCGGGTGACTCTTGGGTGATATGCGGAAACATATCCTCCTGAAAACTGTGAAGAGTGAACATTCCAAGGGGAAGCATCCTTCTAGGCAATGCCATGTTTGCGCAGTTCACAAAAAAAAGGACTATGACTGTCTACATTTGCAAGTGTGTAATGCCACTTCACAAAGGGGAATGTTTCCAGAAATATCACACTCTCAAGCACTTCTACAAGCATTGGTAAGGGTTCTCCAAAAATTTTAGTTCATAAAATTAATTAGGAGATCTTATATTAATTTTTAAAGTGAACAGTGCACAAGTTAGGGTAGTAGGTATAAAAATGCCGGTCCCCAGGGTGATTTAAATATTTAAATTGACGGTCCGAAAAGTGTTAAGTAAACATCAGACCATGAGGATGTATGGGAGAATGGAAGTACACCCCCAGCCATACTGATCCCTTAGAGTTAGATGAAAGTGAGTAGTCACCTTCAGGCTCTGGCTGTTTTACCCTCCAGGGAAAGAGTCCCCCACTGTCCTGATACTCATTGGATTAGGAGGCTGGGTGAACCCAGAGCCAGTCTACTTAGTGTGGTAGCAAGGAGAAGGATTCCTATCCCTGCTGAAAATCAAGCCCTGTTCATATATCCCTTAACCAGTTGCTATACTAACTGAGCTATCCTGATTCTTTGTATGGGGCCTCGTGATATTTTGAATATACAAAGTAATAATAGCTATGTAATTAATGAGAGACAGGTTAGCTTAGCTGTGGTTGGAGCTGAAATCCCTGCAGATACAGAAATTTTCTTCCATACTATGTCCAGAATAACTGGAACATATCAAGCCTTCTAACCAACGGGTACTTGTGATGCTGGGGTAAAGGTAGCCAGAACAAGAATCTAATCTCTCACCTCCCTCAGAACATGTGGAGCATCACCACAGTGCCATGTTTGTAACATGATGCTTCAGCAACTTTGCCTTTACTGACTGGTTACTGATTTTGAGTTTCAGAGTAGTTCATAATTGGTGTTAATTCTGCCATTGAGTCTTCACACTGTGTGGATGTCGTGACATTACTGCTGTGTCGGGGGGTACATTGTGTTTCTGTCTTCAGGGTCACCTGGGAACACCACTTTCCTATAGCTTTTTGATGCACATTGTGGCCCTAAAAAGGGCCCCTTTGATAACATTTCCCTGTTTATTGTCCCAGCCAGGTCTCCAGCCCACATACTTCCTCCCTCGTGAGTCTGTTGGGCCAAAACGTATATAACATGAACACTCACATGCCCTACACACTTAGACCCTGAATATGTAGGCAGCATGTACCTCCAAAATGTTGGTAACACTATCCACACTTACACAGTGTAAAGGCTCAAGTGCAGAATTGACATTAATAGTACTTGCTTATAAGATTGTAGTGTTCTGGTTTATGACACTGTGCAGGTAATAGCCAACATTGCCACATGAAGTTGGAGGCAACCTGTTCCCCTCAGTTGTTGGTAGCCACCCATCAGACTACATATTGTCATACCTCAGAGACCACAGTCTTAATTCTGATGTTGTTTATCAAAGAGCATAATCATGAGAAAAAGAAGACTAATAAGTTGCAGACATTTTCCTTGTAACACAAGATTTATTCAGAATTGCACTACCACCAGAAACCTTTCATGTTGACATAATTTACTGTAATACATATTCTGTTTCAGTGTTGGAGAATGTCTCAACTAGAACTGAAATTTGGAATTGCATCTGACATGGAACAAATGCAATATTTGTTTGTCTTTGCTGTGGAACTGATATGCTGCAAGGGCTGCAGCAAGGATTTTGAAGGCAGCATAAAATTATGTATATCTTACTGAACCGAGAGATGTCCATCTATAGTGCACACTATGCTGGAAACAATTCTCACATATAGATAGATAGATATCCATTCTTTTGGGTGAATCACTCAAGATCCCACCTTCCCTGCTAAGCCTTATCCCTGTGTTGCCACTTGATGCTGTACATTGTGGGCTTAGCTGACCAGTTCAATGGTCCCCTTCAGAGGGCCAAAGTATCCACATTTACACTGAGGTGTCATGTAAAGTATTCATTATAATTTGTTAAAAAATTATATTTCATTTAATATCTTATGTTAAAACTCTGTTTTATAGGCTTTCATTTCTAATTCAAGTAACAAGCCTGTGAGGTGACCATGATTTCTGTTTTCCTGCAAAGGTAGATGTCTTTCAATGGTCTGATGACCCAGGGGGCTGTTCTGCTTGCCTTAGTAAGTGAACCAGACTTGAGTGTAGAGAATAATAGTACAAATTGATTTAGGGAACTACAAAGTACTGTCTAATAAACAGTGGCGCTCTCTACCCAACTCCTTGTTGCAGAACATTTTTTTAAAATAGTTGCTCAGTGAAGAAATTCTTTGCTTTTAAGCAACAGAAAGTTTCATTAGCATATTCACGAAAACTCACCCTTGTATCCTCTCCAGAGCTTGCTGAATCCAGTTCACACAATGTTTCTCTAAAGTCCATTTCAGTATTATCTTCTAATCCAGTGGTTCTCAACCTTTGTCAGACTGTGACCAGGGCGTGGTACTTGGCCCCAGCCCGGCGGTTGAGAAACACTGCTCTAATCTATGGTTAGATCTCCCATATGACTCTTTCCATTGAGGTTTTCAGACCAACATTTTGCATGGACTGCCCATCTCATCCTCCTTGATATAATCACCTTACAGTATTAAGAGCACAAATTATGAACCTCCTCATTATGTGAGTTTCCCTACCATCCTGTCACTTCCTCTCTCATAGGTCCAAATATTGTCCTCAATGTCCAGTTCTTAGATGCCCTCAATCTCTTAGAAAGAGACAAAGTTTCACACCTGTACACAATAGCAGTGCATTCTGTATGTCATTATGATGTAGTTGTTACACATATTGGCTATTTTACTTACTTCTTCTATCATGAAGCTTGAAATGCCGTGACTTGATATTGGATCATGAGTTGTGGCTCTCAAATACAGAGACATTTATCTTTCACTGGAGTCACCTCACAGTAATGCATTTGAGTTCCGAGCATAACAAATAATTTTGAACATAACAAATATAACTTGAGGGTACAGTAATTTTCGTTTTGTCTTACCTAACTTGTTTCTTTTATTAGTAGTATGTCCGTTCTTGTAAGTAATCAGATGTTTTGAAATTAAATCAGGATTTTATTTCATCTCAGAAATAAATACAAATGAAATTAAATGATACATATACATATATATATCAGCCAAATGAAGTATGTTCAGGTATGAATGAATATATCTTTCTGTGCCATTCTTATCTGTGAAAGAAAGTAACAGTATGTTAACAATTATTGGTTATATAAATGTATTAAACATGTTAGTTTATATAAAAAGAATTATGAAAATGACATGGCATGCTTTCTTATCCTAGAGATATATGGTATGCTGTTTGCATGATTTGAAGCTTTAACAGCGCCAGTAGAAAATGAAGTCCTCTCAGGTGATCACTTGTGTCAATGTAGAGTTTGTGTCCAACACTTCAGAGACTGTTACTGCCTCAGTTATCAGGGGTTGATGTGATGAGTGTTGTGTTTGCATGCTGTATTTATATACAAAGCTGTCATCCATCCCAGCTTGGACAGTATGGAGAACAGTGGACAAAGTCAGATGGTCAGCGAAAGTGCTAATAAATTGTAACTCATCATCATTGGCAAAACAACCCTTTTTGAGTCACAGCCTCCTTAGAAGATTCTGCCAGATTGTATCTGGTGTTATCTTTTCCTTTTTTATTTCACAACAATAATTTTTTTACAGCACAAGGTTGCCAGCCTCATGTCCAAGCCCCCAACCTGGGGAATCATGTCTGTATTTATGTCCCCCAGTGACAGGATGGCCCAGTTACACCCCCAGGCACTGGGTTCCCTTTTTGTTGCCTTCTATGATCTGCAGGACTATGGTAGAAGTATTCTAGCCTGCCTCCACATGGGGGAACAAATTGTAAACATTAAAAATAAAATAAAACTTGTGACACCATATGTACTCATGGTGATGATTATAAAAAGAACTATCTTCTGAAATATGACACCATGTAGTTATGTAGAATCATGTAAATATTAAGCTGGATAGTGTCTCTCATGTTAGATATATTTGAAGTACAGTGTTTCAACAGCTGGATCTACTTTCATCATCAGATATAAGTGCAGAAAATGATCCTTCTCAGATGGGACCATTAGAAAGAACTAGCCTTAATCACTGGACAGCTAGTTGCTAACAGACCCAACCGACAGGATCCTTTCCCTCACTAACACATGATGGTGGTAGCAGGTCCAGCTTCTGAAACATTGTGTACTTCACATGTATCCAACATGAAGAGTTCCATCTTCTGAGATATAATGCCCTGTACTCCATTGAAAGTCAACTGACATTTTGGAGGAACATGTCATCTCTATCATCATGGTCAATGAATAAAAGCTCTGCTTCCTACCTGCTTTCATGGTGGTTTCTTGCTTCAGTTATTCTTAAACCCCAAATATGGAGGTAATACATTCCCTCAGAATGCCAGTTGACTTTCACCAAATCACACAGTGTTATGTCCCAGAAGACAGAACTGTTTTGAAACATTTAGTTTTCCCCGTTGAGTCATATTTAGTACACTTCTAAAGGTAGGAGATTCACCACATGACTGATCACCTGAGAAGGCTTCAGTCTATACAGTTGGCATGAAGCTTCAAATCATACATAAAAATATTCATGTTATAAATCCTGCAATAATGTTGTGAAGGTAGTCCCCTCATCTGTTTCTTTCTCTCTCTCTCTCTCTCTCTNATCCTAAGCTTCTTGCTTTTAATTCCCTACAATTAAGAATAATGGCATGGATGATGCACACATTTGTGATGTGGGAGAGATACTACTGGAATTTCTGAAATCAAAAAATCATAGCAATTACAAGCACCACCATGACCAGAGTTTCAGTTAATACTGTTGATGTTATCGTAAAAGCTACTCACCAAACAGGTTGGTCTAGAAGTATTGATCATATTCTTGATTTATATTGAGGAAAAGCTCAATTCAAATCTCAGCCAGAACAACAGATATCCTGACAGGCTTTTTTGTGGGTTTGCTCAGGTCTTCCAGACAAATGCCAGGTTAGAGCCTTGATTAGGCCATAACTGCTTCTTTCCTATTCATCAGTCTTCCTATCACATGGTGGTATAGTGTCTTGGATACTGATAATGTTATTATATAACCCACAAAAAATTCCAAGCTATTTTGAATAATAGTTCAAAGACATTTCTGCAATAGTATGAGGTTTGTGTGACAGTAATATGTATTTATATTCCAGTTGTCTTTGAATATAGTCAAGTGTACTTGCATTTGAATTGCTGAGACAGCCATCTACCTTCCCCAGAATTTTTGGAAAAAATCTAAATTAAAAAATTGAATTTGATTTGTTTCATTCTGGTCTGTCACACTATCAGTTACAAAGATTAAACAGTTCCATCCAGTGTGATTCATCGATGAGTTTATCGCTTCATCACTTAACAACCTTACATGTTTCGGTTCTCACAGAAAAATCAGAGGTACAGTGATATGTCTGGGAAAACACTATCACAAAAGGTGTTCTAATGTTAATTATTTACACTTATAATGCTTTGGATGCACAATATATGTAGATTTCAACTTTCCACAACCACAGCAGCCTTCTTGATATGTTAAAATATATATTTTAATCTTTGTAAAAAATGCAATATAAAATATGAATATCAAAAAAATTAAATTACAAAAAGCATTATTTTTTCTGAATACCCTGGCTAAAAATATCCTCTCCAGGACCAAGAAAGGAGGAACTTTGGGTTTGCCGGGTTTGCCGATGCTGACACGGGACTGGGAAGGGACGGACAATGACGTCAAGACAATAATGCAATATTAGTCGTAATACTATTGGTAACACTGATGACACCCAGACCACCAAGACTGACTGACCCTGACTGATTGTCAGTTGCAACATGACTTTGACTTTGGCAGCACTGAGGAGTGCTTCGGGTCATAATTGTCATGATCATAATCGATCATAATCCGTTGTGGGAAGTTGTGGAAGATTTTGGAAGTTCAGCAGTAGTAAGAAGAAAAAGCGTAAGGTTTGTAGGCTTATTATTATATCGTAAATACGATTTACGTTAAACTTATTAGTTAACAACGACGTCAAGTGTTGCCACGTGTTCAATATACAGTCTAAGAAATTCGCATTTTAGAAAGAATTTCATTTTCTTTACCAGTTTGTAGTTTAAAACAAGCTCATATGCTTGTGTATGTGCACATAATGAATAAATGAGTCGAACTGCAAATGAAATATTGCTTTTGAGCTTTTTTTTTTAATTTTGAAATCTTACAGTAAAAGAAAATAATAAATAAATTCAAAATGGTGGCCGTCTGTACTGTTGTGCATTGAACGTACTAGGCGCATTAGCATGATAACGCATATTTTTTATAGCACATCAGAATAAAGTAATATCCATAATTTAAACCAGCGACAGGAGAAAATATTTCTATGCAAGTGTTATTGATGAGGCCTGCAGTGTTGAATCTAAACATTACAGCGTATTTTCAGCCAGCTGTAAAATTTTACGTGTTCATCTTATATTGTGACTGCAGTATGACAGTACCCCAGGTTTAGGAGACTTTTGAGGAGCAAACCGACGTATTCTGTAACGATGGAAAGATATACATTTCCAGTACTTTGATTACTGAAATTTGCATCGTCTTGCGACCGAGTTTTGTGTCTGCTATATCAAATTTAACCTTATCAGGTTTAACATGTTAGGTGATGAATTAATTGTGTAATGATGGACACTATTCAGATGTTTTGCAAGACCACATGAACTGAAGCTATGGCCTACATTTAGAATTTTCACTTTTATTGTGGACACAATTGTATAACATGGATTATAGGCCCACCATAACTTACTGTGCCATTATATTTGTGAAATCAGATTTATTATATTATTCTGCCACTACCCAGCCAGTATTACACATATAATTTGTTCAAGTTACAGTGTGTGCAAACTTGTATTATTTAGCTGCACTGGGATTTTTATATTAAGTTGCCCACAATGTAGAAGGATATCATTGAAGCCTTGCTGCTGAGTTGCTGTAGGTATGTGTTCCTGAATCTTCCTCAGTTGCTGTACCCCTTGTTCTTAAAAGTGAACCCATCCACAGTGGTTATTAATCAAGCACAGTGTTATGCCCAATAAAGATAAGATACAGAAGGTTTCTTTATACAAAAAAACAAATGTGTGCAAAAAAGTTGACAAGGTTGTGGGCCCGGGGGTAGGTGGGTCCTGTTCCTGTGTATTTGACAGTGGATGCGATATATCTCATGTACTCCCCTGTGTGAGGCATCATGTATCCCTGGTATAAGTTTCAGAGAGCTGCAGTTCCCCACAGTGCGCCATTTGACACAGAATGATTCTTTTGTTGGTTTAATAGGCGCACCTATAACTGTCATGTGGGGGCTGGTTCATGCAGAAGCAGTGGAGGTGTTACTGAAGCTGAGTGAAGGATCCACATCAGCACCAATGTGACAGGCTGAAGGGTGCCAGTAGGGAGCAATGCTGGCAGCAGACATAACAAGGTAACAAGCACATTGTGATGCCTTTCCTCAAAATTCTTCGTGTCCGGGATCATGGCATGTTTACATCATTCACAGGTGGGCTGTGTATAATTAACGTATTTGCTGCCAGCCTCTCGGTGAGTAATTTAAATGCCCAGCTCTGGGTTTTTAATTGTCATGGTACTTTTAATATATTCTTGACCAGCAAAATCTGGGAACACACTATGAGTAAACTGTCAGACAGAAATAGTGTTTGTATGCTTTACAGTTTGACCTAAGGTGGATACAGTAATATACATATGGGAACACTTATCTATCCAACAATCACTTGGACATGGCAGTGACTGTATTAACTATGTAACAGTGTGGCTTTTAAACCTACTACCCTAACTTGTGCACTGTTCACTTCAAAAATTAATATAAAATTTCCTAATTAATTTTATGAACTAAAATTTTTGGAAAACCCTTACCAATGCTGCTAGAAGTGCTTGAGAGTGTTATATTTCTGGAAAAATTCCCCTTTATGAAGTGGCATTACACAGAACTCACATGTAGACAGTCATACTCCTTTTGTTGTGTACTGCGCAAACACAGCATCGCCTAGAAGGCTGCTTCCCCTTGGCATGTTCACTCTTCACAATTTTCATAAAAACTGAGGTTGTGAACTCTTTAACTTTGCCATAATCAGCATATTCCTCATGAATCACTAGTCTGGGTGGAAACATGTTCACTGTCTGTGGCCACAATTTTTTGTTTGCCCCTGCCACACTCCCTATCAGAGTCACTGTCACTTCAATGTATCACTTAGAATTCAACCAATATACTGAACATAAAAACGGTCAGTATTAACTTTGCCATAATCAGCATATTCCTCATGAATCACCAGTCTGGGTGGAAACATGTTCACTGTCTGTGGCCACAATTTTT